TTCTCCATACAATAATATATCTTTCTTGTGTATGATCCTTCAAATAAGCAGAATTTTTTGCCATTTCCAGCAAGGCAATTCTTAATGATTTCTCATATATTTCTCAAATATGTCTATATTGTCTTTGGCTTCAAAATGTTTTTTTTTTTTTTAAAAAAAAAAAAAGCAATTCACAACAAAACACCTTGCTGATTTAAACTTTTGTTTGCATCCTGTTGCGAGGTGAGAGCTATCACACTGCTAGGACCAAACTGTGAGGCAAGAGGTCCTTCCAAAGAACAGAATTTTATCAGCAGTAATTTTGAATATTTGTGCTTTAAAAAAGAACTAACCAATAGTTAAACATATATTAAAACCCACTGGAACAAAATGTCCTAAAGGGCTTTCTTTTGAGGACAGCCAACATATGAAAAACTTCATAAAAATGTAGCTTGATTGCCTCCAGGTCATTATTTTTATTCGGTCTTTTGTTTTTTCCCTTAATGCAAGACAAGACATAAAATCTCTCATAGACATTAAAAAATGGATACAAGCAGAGAAATGTTTTTCCAATATGCTTTCCACAATAGCAGAGCATCAATTCTGTGTTTGTTTTCTAGATGCAGTCCTTCAGTTATGGTGAAATTTCTGGCACTAAACCAAATGAATGTACGTGACCATCTTTGATTATAAGGACTACAGGTAGTCCTCGACTTATGACAATTGAGCTCAGAGTTTAGGTTGCTAAGTGAGATATTTGTTAAGTGAGTTTTGTCCCTTTTATGACTTTTCTTGCTGTATTTGTCAAATGAATCTCTGTAGTTGTTAAATTGGTAACACGGATGTTAAGTGAATCTGGCTTCCCCATTGACTTTGTTTGTCAGAAGGTAGCAAAAGACAATTCACATGACTCTAGGACACTGCAACCATCATAAACACAAACTTGTTGTCAAGCATCTGAATGCAAATCACGTGACCACAGGGGTGCTGCAATGGTCACAAGTGTGAAAAATGGTCATAAGTCACTTTTTTCAGTGCTGTTGTAACTTCAAACAGTCACTAAATGAACTGTTGTAAGTCAAAGACTACTATCTGTATGCTGTGGTGAATGTTATCTTCTTAGTGCAAATGGACCGGATTTTAGATAATGTTGGATTAGATCAGTGTTTCTCAACCTTGACAATTTTAAGGCATGTGGACTTCAACTCCCAGAATTCCACAGCCAGCAATGCTGGCTGTGGAATTCTGGGAGATGAAGTCCACATGCCTTAAAATTGTCAAGGTTGAGAAACACTGGATTAGATGACCTCCGGTGCTTTTGTGTGCTTGCAGTTTTATGATGCACCTAATCATATTGATGCTGGCGTAATTATTCCAAAGACAAAGGGATGGCATCAGTACATGGCATGGCCTAGCAAAAGCTTTTTATTTTATATATTGGAATACATAGACAGATTTGCCTAATAATCTATGGGAGGGACCCTTTGCATATTTTCTCCTATCAGTGGCACATTTTTGCAAGGAAGCCAAGAGCCTGAGCCTCCCAATATTCTGTATTTAGTATGGCAGCAAAAGAATGTTAGTGCCACAGCAGGTGGAGAAGGCAATGTAGAAGGATTAAAGAGATGCATCTTGACACTTTAGATACTGAAGCTTATATCGGAGCTGGGGGGGGAGAGAAACCAGTATTTTGAAAGGGCCCATTTCCTAGTGAAATGAGGTTTTTTTTGGGGGGGGGGTCAAAGCGATATCATAACTCCAAGGTTCCTCCCCATTTCCTCTCAAGAATTGTTAAGCCATGAGAAAGCCTGAACAACCTTTTTGACCCTCTGAGCCCCCAATTACGGTTATAATGTGGGTAACATGACCAGACTTAATTTTATAACTTTTTGGTGGCAGCTGTTAAGTGAGCACAGCACTTGTAAAGTGAATTTGGCTGCTAATAAGTAATAATAATAATAGTAAAGTTGGAAGGGACCTTGGAGGTCATCTAGTCCAACCCCCTGCTCAGGCAGGAAACCCTATACCATTTCGGACAAATGTCTGTCCAGTCTCTTCTTAAAAACTTTCAGTGTTGGAGCATTCGCCGCTTCTGGAGGCAGGTTGTTCCGCTGGCTAATTGTTCTAACTGTCAGGAAGTTTCTCCTTAGTTCTAGGTTGCTTCTCTCCTTGATTAGTTTCCACCCGTTGCTTCTTGTCTTGCCTTTGGAAAATAGCTTGACTCCCTCTTCTTGGTGGTAGCCCCTGAGATATTGGAACACTGCTATCATGTCCCCCCTCGTCCTTCTCTTCATTAAACTAGACATACCCAATTCCAGCAGCCGTTCCTTATATGCTTTATTTGCTATGGAGCGTTTTTTTTTGCTCCATAGTACATAGCACATTTGCTATATTGCAAGTAAACACCGGTTTCTAGCAAAAATGTCATAAATTGTGGTCATGTAACCATAAGGCACTGCAAATGGTCGAGTGTCCAAAATTTGATGGCAGGCAGAGGGGGCAGGTGGAGAGGAAGCAGATGTTTGTTCTTCAAAACGGAGTCTTAAATAACTTTTTCAGGATCCAGCATAACTTCAATAAGCACTAAGTAACTGGCCTTAAGTCAAGAACTACCTGCAATTCCAATTCTCTTCTGGAGCAGTTTGTTCTTTAGGAATTGGGGAAGGCAAATGGCAGTTCCCTTGCTGTAGCTGCATAACACTCCTCCGTAAGCCTCTACTGCTAGGCCTATTCTGTGCTCAAAGTTCAAGAAGTCGGCATAAATCAGGACAACTTGGTAGAGGGGAAGCAAGGCAGCTTGGCTTGGATCTCTTCAAACCTGGAGCTGACACAGCTGCTTCAAGAGTAGAGAAAAGCTATGTCTGAGGGGTGATATCAGCTGGTATACCCTGTCAAGCAGAGCTGCAAGCACTGAAATTCAGGTGTTAAGGGGGATGCTGCTGCCTTCTTACATTAAAACAGAGGTGTCAAACTGCCTGCCCATGGGCCAGGTGCCTCATAGCAAAACCACGCCCATCCCATTGCTGGCACTGGCAAAAAAGTCACGATACATCACGACATGTCACCTGACATTGCAAGTTTAACACCCCTGCATTAAAAGGAAGCCTGTGTACTTCCTTTTTTCTCAATCAATCCAAACTCTTAGGGAATTATTTTGCACATACTACAATCTTTTGATAGCTACATTGACAATTATTGAAAATGTGCAATCCAATTTATTTTGAATTCCAATAAATGTGCAATCCAATTTATTTTGGATTCCAATCAGCTATAAAGAAACACTGCAAAATAAGAGGAAATCCAATAGAGGATTGGTCTCTCCTAAGACTGGTGATTCTGTAGTTCTGCTACCATGGAAGTCCCACATAACAAAGTAAACTTCTTTCCCCCAAAACAAGTAAAATCTCTATTTTCAGCAGAAGTGAACCAATTGCTTTCTCTCATGGGCTACATTCATTTGGAAATATGGGGCTTAAGTGAGCAGTGGATGGATTCAATACCAAAGTGAGGTCATCAGTACATCTTGTCTCTGACACTTCTTAAATCCTCCATTTCCCGTTTCTTTTTTTTCCCTACCTATATCCTTTCCTCCCCCCCCCCCTTTTTTTTTTTTTTTTTACATCCAGCAGAGTTCTAGAAATGGGACAGGTTGGAGCCATTGCTTATATGCAAATGGATTTAGGAATTAGTCCAAGGGTGCTTGTGTACCCATAGGACCGCAGAATAGCAATTATTTGCGCTTTACTTTAATAAGTCGAAATAAAAGCTGTTGAGTCAGGACTACCAAAAAAAACAAAGCCATAACTGCAAAAGTGGCGCGCTTGCAAATATTTATCAGAGAGGAGGAAGTGCAGCAAAATATCTCACATCCTTTCCTTTGAAACTCCACCTAACAATCTGAAAACAAGTTTACCTATTTGCACTGAAGCAGCATAGGATGCCTCTATGCCATCCCATCATTTGGCAATCTGATAATTTTGGATGAAGTCTAAACTTAATAAACGATATTTAGTTTATGTTAATATGTCTGCTCTCATAGACCTTCACCGTCTGTGGCCTGAACACGTGACAGGAACGAGAGATACTGACGCTCTGCACTGCGATGGATTTACTCTTCCCCTGTATTTTGTTTTTCTGTTGGTTTTAAAGTGGAAGGCAGGGCCTAATTTTGGTGTAAGGTAGTTCTGTATAAGCCACACTGGCCTGATATTATGGGTAAAACTACTAACGGTATTGAACGTTATGAAAGTAGTTCCCGACAAGTCCCCATCCTTCTCTAGCTTGCAATATGATCTCGGTCTAACTTCTCGGTTCTCAGGGTCGGGCTCAGTATCAAGTGTTGGACTGGTATTTCACCCCCACATGAATCTCCCAGGGCTAACTCGGTTCCTGCTTTAACTTTTCACTACAGTACATAACATTCTGGAAACAGGAAACACGCCCACCGACTTTCCCCTTCAATCTGCTGTCATTCAGCGGCTGTACACCAATTCTGAGCAAGGTTTGGAAAACAAAAATGCATTGTGGCTAAATATAGACCGACAGTTTGGGGCTTGGCTCTCATGTTACCGAGAGACAGTTCCCTGTCTGTGTTTGACCCAGGTGGTAACACCTCAAAGGGGGCACAGAGAAATAAGCAGAAGGCAGTTAAACAATTGCATTTCTTTATCTTTGGTGAAAAAGGAAATCAACCCGTTAATCGCTTTTTTCAGCTCCCTTTTCAATTACACTTTCAGCTACACCATTGAAAAAAAAAATAAAGGTTGATCTTTGTAAACGAGCGTTGTAGCTGGATTCCTGCCTTGTCCCAGGCACACGTGCACAAATTTCGTTTTTTCTGCTTGCTTTTCGCACCCACCAAATGCAGGCAAGAGAGGAATAAAGTTTACAGAACTTACTTTAGAAAGTTTTTGGAGAGAGAGAGAGCAAGACAGCGATTCCCCCCCCTCCTTTTTTAAACACACAAAGCGTAAGAGTTGTACGTTTGTCATTTTGCACAAGGAGGGGGTTTGAGTACTCACGCGGAGCAGATGTTGTTGTACTGTTATGGAAATTCATCCTGTAAGCATTCAGAAATGTTCCCCCTTTGCTTTTTGCACTGACTGTGCTTCCTATCCACGTCCAAAGATGAATGAAGCAAAGCTGCAGCAAAGACTGGGGAAGCAAACAGGAGAAAGCCCTGCTTGTTCAGATGCTTCCAGCATGGTTCTTGACCATTTACCACTGGAAAAGGAAACAGCACATTCAGCTCGCATGAAAAGGGGAGGGGCCTTGCTTTTTAGATAAGCACCAACTTCTCTTTTTTTACGTGCAGTCTTCCTCTTCTGCCAATATCTACTGTGGGACATTTCCACCGTTAGCAAGGGATACGGAGAAGTTTCGTTGTTCTTTTGCCTCTGCTTCAACAAGTTTTGCAGGGTTTGTAATCTTTCTAAAACTTAAAAAAAATATATATGAGAGAAGGAGTAGAAAAACCTTTAAAAACGAAGCACAAAATGAGAAGTCCCTTATTTTAATTTCTAGTTTGTATAATCTTGAGATGGCCTTGAAGTCATCTACAATGTTATGTACTCTCCGTAATAAATCAGTAATAATAATACAAAGAATACTTCCCCCTATAAGATAGTAAGGGAAATATTCTGTGTATACTATATATACTATGGGTTGAAATGTGAGGATTATCTAAAATCTTGAGAACTTCAAAGCATGAGCCCTAGCCCCATCTTAAGCATGAAAGCCAGCCTGGTGACATTGGGATCAGTCTATTTCTCAGACCAACCCAACTCACACGGTTGTTGTTCTGGAAAAAAATCAGGAGGAAGAAGGAGTATTAGGTATATTTGCTGCCTTGAGTTACTTGCAATAAGGTGGGTTAAAAATCTAATAAATTGTGTAGATAATTATCATGAACAATGACCATAAAGAAGATGAAGTCCCTCTGAAGATAGTTCTGTAAGGTTTAAAAACGTTTGTTATCATGAGTAAATTTTTGTGTTCATGTTTTTAGGAACTTATTTTGAATACATTACTTTACCCTGATAATGGAAACATATCAGAGATCCTTTTGTTTACTTCTGTTTGTTCTTGGTTCTCTCAGTAATTCGAGTAGTTGATAATGTTGGGTCATGTGCTTCTCTTTCTCTAGCATTTAGGAAGACATAATTTCCTGTCAGGAATATTCTAATCCATTCCATTTTTAATGCATCCTTTCTTTTCACAATCCATGATTTCAAAAAAGTATACACAAATCTTCTCTCATCCATTTTATTTATATAAATGCCTTGTGAGATTAGATAGGTCAGAGGCTGCAGTACAACCACCTCCTAAAATGATAAAAGAATGTGGGCAATCCCCACATTTCTCTGGATTGGGCAAGAAATAAATACATTGTTTACTTTTAATAATTACACTTTAATCTCAGGAAGTCTCAGCCTTTACAGATCAAGTGAGGAGCAAAGCCCAGAGAAAATTTTTATAGTCACTTTACCTATGCAAACCTAAATAGGTTTAAAAACTAACTGCAAACACCCTACAAGTTCTTTGCAAGCCTCCTTCCTCCTGGGGTGCCAATCCATAGTTTACAAACCTCTGTGTTAGGCTGCTAGATAGTTACTGAGACATGTTGCACAAAAGCCTAATGGGAGACTTAAGACGTCCAGTTTAAAGCTGATTTAGAGTTGCCCGCATCTGCCTTTAGCCGTCACTACATACCTACGCTGCAAAGGTTGATGGGTAAGCAGAGGTTGCATCAGGCTGCAGATGGGCAGCCTGATGCAACCTCTGAATTTCAACTGTGCGGAGGTGTGCTCCCTCCATGCTGATTGGTTCTGACTTCCTACTGGGAGGCGGGTAAGGCAAGTAAATTCAAGTGGTAAACATTAAATTCACTGTATAAAAAGAATGCCTATGCATCCATCCCTGAACACATACATTCCATGCAGTGCAGTGTAGCAGATGTTAAAGATGTCCAGCCTTAAAGATGACACTCAAAACCACTGTACCAGTTCTCTTAATCATAATATAAAAGTTCAAGCCCCCCACCTACAACTGATGCCTGATTGAAATATTTCAGGATGATGAGACAAGGTGCTTTTTCCATTTTTTGTTTCATTTGAAGTCTGCAAACTGATTTCATAACTGCTCAAAGAAGTGGCAAAGAACCACATAGTGTCAAAGAAGCTACCAAATTGTTTAAGAATGTTCTTCAGGGTGCACTCTTTATGCATGTTTTGAACAAGGATAGTTTTGATCAGTGCTTTTTTTTCTAAAAAAAAAAAAGTGCCGGAACTCACACACATCATACAACCCACCTTGCCTACCCTACAAGGTTCCAACCAAAAAAGGTGCCAGAACTCTGTTCTGAGTGTTCTATGAGAAAAAAAGCCCTGGTTTTGATGTAACATATTGGCCTTTTTCCTCACTTTCTTACCCAGTTTCAAAGAGGACACTGTAGTAAAGAGATTCATACTCAATTCCTTTAGCCTAGGGTGTGTTGTCCAAACGTTTCATTACTCAAAATATTTTCAAAAACCAGAACATCAGACAATACGTTACCATAATAGAATTAGCCCAGATAACAGAATAACGAAAGGAACCCTGGAGGTCTTCTAGGCCAACCCCCTGGTCAAGCAGGAGACTTCATAGCCATTCTGCTGATTAATTGTTCTCACTGTCAGGAAATTTCTTCTTAATTCTAGCTTGTTTCTTTCCTTGGTAAGTTTCCATCTTTCTTGACCTGCACTCAGGCACTTTGGACACTAAGTTGATCCCTCTTCTCTATGACAGCCCTTCAAATATTGGAAGACTGCTATCATGTCTTCTTCTCTTAGACAAGACACGCCCAGTTCTTGCAACCATTCATTGTATGTTTTAGTTTCCAGCCCCTGCAATGATCTGTGTTGCTCTTCTCTGCACCCTTTCTAGAATCTCAGTATATTTTTTGTATCGTGACCAAAACTGGTTGCAGTATTCCAAGTGTGGCTTTACCATATCATTGTGAGAATATCAACTGAGAGTTCTACCTACAGGAATTCATTGACTAAAGAAGAGATGTAAGGTGACCAACTTTTTTACAATGAAAAGGAGGACACAAATAAATTGAAGAAAACAAATATCGTAAATAAAAGAAATATTTTATTCATTGCAGCAGTAATACAGAATACACTATAATATGATAAATGCATAATAAAAAACATTTGTAACAATAACATTTTATATTGTAATTATGCTTACATGCCGCGCCCCTGCCCCCAGCTGCCCCCCAGCACTGCTGCCCTGCCGTGTAGAGCGGGCCCCACGGCTCCCAAAGCACCAGCTATGCTGGCTCCGGCCCTGGGGGGCAGCCCGCCATCAACACACCCCACCTGCAGCCGCCCACCAGCACCACTGCCCTCCCTGTGCAGCCCCGTGTAGAGCAGGCTCCCACAGCACGGGGGGCAGCCGGCCATTGCCGCCCCTCACACTCCCGCCCGCAGCAGCCCCGCCGCCCCTGCCTCTTGCGCCCACAGCCATTATTGCCCTAACAGGGCCGAAGATCAAGAGAAAGTTACCGTGGCGTTGCTGCTCCAGTCTTCCTGGGTATCTTTGGGACTAATTAGGAGATGGTGTAGTTGGGTAGCAGGGAGTGGTGGAAAGTTCCTGCCAATTCGCCTTCGCTGGAGACAACTTACATGTGCAAAGTTTGCTGGCCAGGTGTTTTGGCGCACTCAGCAGCAATTCCTATTGGCTTTTGAAAGCCAATAGGGGGAGTAGCACAGCTCATGCAAAAGTTGAAAAAAAAAACATCAAAAAAGGTGCCGGAACGCCGTTCTGAGCGTTCTATGAGAAAAAAAAGCCCTGCAGATTAGTCTTCAAATATCGAAAAGGAGGACATGTAGGAGGACACTTTTCGAGGAAGGACAGAACTCACAAAAGGAGGACTGTCCTCCCTAAAGGAAGACGGTTGGTCACCTTAAAAGATGGCTCTGGTAGGCCTCGGTATTATATCTCTCCACTGCACTACAGTTTTCATAAATGAGTTAAAATGATTTTATTTCATTGGGCTTTTGGCCCAAGCTAAATAGAATTGCCATGATGTGTTTCTTCCCATGACCCCACCTTGTCCTCCACTCCGTAGGAGCTTTACTGTATTCATTGTTTTAATAGGGTTGTTATTATTTTCTTGTTTTCCTGCCAGAATCTGGGTAAAGTGGAACAGCTTAAAAAGGCTGCAAACAAATAAATAAATGCTAATCTCACAACAATGCTTGGATGCAGTGCAGCCTGATAGCGCAAACTCTCTGAGAGTAGGCATTGTTGGAAAGTAAGCACAATTCACTGCATAAATAGTGCCCAGAAAGATAACATTGAAAGAGATTCTAGAGTCATCTAGTGCCAATTGGCATTTCCATGCAGGCTCTACAGTGCAGAGAGCTGCTACAGCCTCTTTGGTGATGGAAGGCTGTCTGGCCTCTGTTGAAATGCTTCTAGCAAACGGAAGAAATTGACTCCTTTCACATTGCCGATATGGTAGTTCTTGTTTCTGAAATGTTTCTATGATGTTTAACTCAAATCTAGATTCCATAACGAGGGGACCTTGGTGGTCTCTGAGTTTGCTTGTTTTCTTGCAGACATTTCATTAGCAAAACTAGGTAACATTATCGGTGCTAGTCCTAATGAAACATTTGCAAGAAAACAATCAAGTTCAGAGAGCATCAAGCACCCTCATTTCAACCCTGACCTACAAATGTTCTCCTTTAATTTCCGTAACATTTGAAGAAGCCATGGGCTCATACAGTGTAACATACCAAAGAATATTCTGCAGGATACTCCCAAGGAGAGAATGAATTGCAGTCTGCATACATCAGTGTAAAAAAAAAAAAATTGTTTGAGGTCACTAGCCTAGGACATAAATGTGTCCATGTCACCCATGATTCTAAAATTGAGGAAAAAATACAAAGTGATAAGAGGCCAATAGGTCTATAGTCTCTAGTACATATGCATAGATGGGAGGAATAGAATGAAACTGCTTGGGTAACCATTTGAACTGAAGTACTGGTCATGATGTTGAACATAACAAAATATTTAGCTAGGACCTTCAACACTACTCTCCTTCATATTACTTTCATAATATTCAGAGAAGTGTAGATTTTGACACATAACTTTATTCCAGTTTGTGTATAGCTGAAGAATAGATTTGTGGTCCTTGGGACATGGCTGAATTATCTCTGCTGTGAACAGGGATCATGATGTGTTACCAA